TTTTCAAATTCACTGCAGAGTAACATTATTTGTTTTTTCAAGATAGAGTATTTTTACTTTATGTTAAAAATGTTTTGCAGTAAAAAAATTGGGGCAAGATACAGTGTAAACAAATATATAGGGTTAGGGTCAGCAGAATCCAAAACTTTAAAAGAAACACTGTTATATGTGATATTTTGGTATTAATGGATCATAAATTGGAGATTTGTTATTTTCAAAATAACTTGAGTGTAAAAACAACTTTTTTTTGAGAGTAATTTTCATTTTGAGAGAAAATATTATCTCTTTCTTTTATTATTTCTTTTTATAATATGTAGTATGTGGTTATATATTTGTTTTTTTGGCTGCTTACTTTTCTCTATTACCTTATTTAAAAGTTTTAAATAAGGTAATAGAGAAAACACAAAATATTTTTTAGTTGTTTATGTATAAACAGATAAAAGCATTAAGTGTATGTACATTGAACTATTTCATTTTACAGTTTTATTTATAATAAGAATTGCATAAAGTGCACATACAGATACAACATAAAGGTCATGATATAAAAAATCAGACGTTTATTTTTTCTGTGATAAAAATATAACCAAATCATGGCTGTTTCTCTGAGTTATACATGAAGTAAGTCATGATTTTGTTGTTTTTGGTTATATGATGTTGCTACTACGGTTTACTTATTGCTGCTAAGCAACTAATGAAATCAGAGTTTTGAAAAAAATACTTGAATATCTGTATTTATGTCAAATTCTTTTTCCTTTTTAGCTTCTTCAATAGCAAAAAATGTTTCAAGTTCTGAATCAAGTTTTGTGAACAACAAAACAGTTGTTGAAATAATAGTCCCTGTTGTTTACATAACAATTGGAAAATATGGTAATTTGATTTATATCAATTTTTTTATTATTATTACACATTTTAAAAATGTTATTTATTATTATTACACGTTATTAAAATGTTTTTTATTTTACTATGAGCCTATTTTTAAATATGGATTATAGTTTTAAAGTGTTTTTTTTTCTCTTATGTGTCATAATGTATCATGCTTCATTGTCATTTTTTGAATTTGTTTTAAGAATCACAGGTTACAGCATCAGGAACTCAAGGTAAATCTATTGCTCACAACATTAGCAATATCAAAATTTCCAGCATTACAGACAGTAATCATCTAATAGCTTGCAAAATATTGGTTTCTGCAGTAGATTGTATAGATAAACTTCTCTCTGACTGGTTTTCAAAATTTAGCTCTAAAGATGTTAAAAGAGTTTCTTTTTGTAATCTTTGCATTCAAAGTGCAATAGAAGAAAATAATTCTCAATCAAGCAGTTTTAACTTGTCATTATTTGAGTTTGAACATGCTTTAGACTGTTTAAAGAAAAAGAAAGATTTAATTTGTCCTTTTCATGAAAATTTGGTAGATATAAAAAAGGTTTTTCCTGACTTGGTATGTTTAGAAACTTTTATACATTCAAAATTATTTAAAGTTTCATTCTTAAATTTAATAAAGTTTTATTCAAGGAATTTTAAAATTATAGTTTCCCTTAATGTTTTAGAGTTCTGCATCAAGTTGGCAAAAAACCATATATATATATATATATATATATATATAATATATATATATATATATATATATATATATATATATATATATATATATATATATATATATATATATATATATATATATATATATATATATATATGTACTTACTGTTTTTAAGACTTTCTGCTCTTTGTTTTAGGCTAGCAGTTAGGTCTGCATTACTGAATGCTGACCCTAATTCCAAGAGCTGTGCATGTATATATATATATATATATATATATATATATATATATATATATATATATATATATATATATATATATATATATATATATATATATATATATATATATATGTATATATGTATATATGTATATATGTATATATGTATATATGTATATATATATATATATATATATATATATATATATATATATATATATATATATATATATATATATATATATGTTTAATACAATTTAACCAACACAATGAATACTAACTTGTGACATTGTTAACCTTTACACCATGATTCCCCATGACCAATAAGAAGCAATAAATTCTGTTTTGAAAAACATAAAAACCTAATACCTGAATTAATTACTACCAATTTCATTATAGAATCAGCATCCTTTTATTTTAAAAAACAATAATTTCCTCCTCAATAGCCAATTATTTCACCAAATTACAGGCACAGATATGGGCACCAGACTATGCATGTCTTTCAATAGGATTTTAAAAAGAAACTATAATTTTTCATAAAATTTTATCTAGGTTTTTTTCAAATGACGAAGTTCAAAGCACTGAACAGTTCTGCTTTAGATATGTTGATGATGGTTTTAACATATGGCCTAAATATCTAGATAAAGAAAAATTTTAAATGTCACTCGCTGAATTAAACAATTCAATTACATTCACAATTGACTATGGCATTAAATTAATTTCAAAAGAAAATATTTATAATATAATTCATTTTTCAGACATTTCTGTTATTCTTCAAAATAACAAATATATCAAAACTTTTTATAAAGAAACTAACACTCATGATTATCTAAATTGTAATAGTTATCATCCACACCAAAAAGAATATTCTGTTTAATCTTGCAAAAAGTATAATTGTATTTACATCTGATTATAACACAGAAAAACTGCATTTAACAGAGTATAAACTATGGCTATACTATGAAAGAATGCAATTTCCTGAAAAATGTTATTAAAAAGCGTTTTAAAATGCAAACCGCAAGAACCAGCTCAACAAAATAAAACAAAAGAAATCTTTCATATAGTCACTACATTTTATAGTAATCTAAACTGCCAGCCACTAACTAAAACTAATCTTCTATTCAGTCTATCCTCTAATGAAAGAATACAACAAATTTTTCTAATATCAATCCTGAAATACAAATAACTGCCAAATTTGCTAACACAACTTCTGCTAAATTTAATTCATTAACATCTAACAATAAAAAGATGGGGATTTTTAAATGTAATGATAGTTGTTGCAAAATTTATCTATTTTACCTGCAAGAGGTAAAAAAATTTGTAACATCCAATGGTATTATCTGGAACATTAAAAGTCACATTAGGGGCCATCCATAAAGTTTGTATGCAGGTATGGGGGGGGGGGGGGGAAAGAGAAAGCATACAAACGTGTACAAGGAGAAGGAGGGATATTAAACTCAGTGAGTACGTACGCGGTTTGACTATATCTCCTAAACTTAATTTTTTTTTTTTTTTTTTTAAAACATTAAATTTCACGTGTAATCAGTATTGTTTTTTTTCTGACTTCAGTCACAATTTTTTTTTTTTTTTAATTTCTTCATAAATAATGAGGAGAAAAAAAAAGAAATGAAGCAAAAATTGTTCCAAATAATATTTTTTATTTTTCGCAACGTAATTTGATTGGTAGCAAGATGAGAAGCAAAAAGACTTCAAATAAAAGCAAACTTTTTTTGAATTCTTTTTTTTTAATTACTGTACGCAAACTGGTTTTTATCATTTCTCTTAAAATGTTAAAATATTTTTTAACCAGGGGTGTGGAAAAAAAGTAATGACTCCGACTCCAGTTGTTGAAATTTTTTGAGTACAACTCAAAAAATACTGATTATAGTTACAACCAGTAATAAAAATTACTGGTTGTAACATTTTAAGGTTTAAATAAGTACATTAAGTATTATCTTAAGTTTTCAGTACAGAGAAATGTCAAATAAACTAAATGTTTTTTTGTTTTTAATGTTTTGAAATATTTATGCATTTGGGAAGGGGGGCTTTATTTTGAAAAAAAATAATGCGCACATTTGAGGAGGGAAGGGGGTCTTTGAAAGCATACAGATTCGTACAGTGGGAAAGGAGGGGGCCTACACCAGTGGTTTTACTGCGTATGTACTTTATGGATGCCCTCTTACTTGTAACAGCAAGAACATCATTTATTATTAAAAATGTTTATCGTGTAACGGTCTATCAATATATACTGGGAAAATTTTTATTTGAGAAATCACATAAATATTTCAAGTTGCAGTACCAACCATTCAACAGACAGATTTGACAAGCATGTGTATGGTTGCCGATGTATAAATAATAAAATTATGGAAATGTTTTTTCAGCTTAGTATTTTTCTAGAACTTAAAAGTGATAAAAAATCAATTGTCTTAAGAAAGTTATTTACATAAACAAAAGCATGATACTTTTAACTAGTACTTCCTGTTTTAGAAAATATTAGACAATGAGAAATAATAGCAACAATACCTTAATTGATTAAAAATTATACTTTTGAAAAACAATTGATTTTTTACTACTAATGAAACATTGAAAGGCCTCTAGTGCTAAATATATTTTCTAGTATTTTGTTACAAATCTTTTTAGAAATAAAAACTTTTTTTGAAGTTTTATTTTGCTTGCCAAATGCTACAGGTGACTGTGTAAAAATAGATGGAGTAATGACAAAAGTAGTTTACTCTACACCTATAAAATCATGCTGCACCTTAAAAAAGAAGGGTTAATGGAAAACCATTTGTTTTTCAGAAGAAAATGACTTAAAACTTAAATCTAAAACATATATTTTTCAAAAAATTGTATGAGTTATTTGACTGAGTTCAAGAATGCTAAAATATTGAATAAAATGATTTAGCCTCCTCAATCACAAGATCTCTCCTCTTAAGTTAAGATCTTAAGTTTTATGGGAGGAATTAAAAGTAATGTCAAAAAATAATGCTTAATGATGCGTAAGATGTGGAAAAAACTTATTATTTAGTAGCATAATATTGACTTTGACAAATTGAATAAGTTTTTAAGTAGAATGCCAAGAATATGTATGGCGGTCATAGTTGCTTAGAGTGATTAAAAGGCAAGTAAATTATAATATAATAATGGGACTTTATATTAATTTTTTGTAAACCTAATAAATAGGAAGATAACACATAATTCAGGATGACTTTGCTTAGAGTTTCTCTCCCAATAGTAAGTAAAA